AATTGCGTTTTTTTTGGCGCACGCTCCCCCTCAAAATTAGAATATTTTGGCGCCCAAGGCGCCTTTAGAAAAATTTTAGGGTCGGTCGGCCAAAAATGGATTTCTGAAAAAGTATCAAAGGGGGACCCTTTGGGTCGGCAGGGGGTCGAATCCCTCAGGAGGGGCGTCCGCCCCCCCTAAATCCGCCCCTGCTCAGTATTAAGAATAAATTGTTCAAAGCGCGCATAATTTAGTCCAGAACATGGCAGTTGACAGTTTTCAAGACCCCAGATTTTTACAATAAGTAATTCGAGGTGAAAAGTCTTTTTACGTTTGAACTCAGGAAGTCAATATCTTCAATGGAGCATAAAAAATTTTGTTGAGCAAGGTTATTTCGACTAGTGAAAAATGACTGAATAAAAAATACCACATCGAGCATAAAAATTCCGTTTTCTTCAAAAAGATATTTGCTCTAAAAATGGAGCTAAAATTTTAACTAAAAAATTATTATGTGCCCTGAAAGTTCCAAATGCTTTTAAGGTCTATGGAAAAGTAAATACATGAAAAAAATAAATGTAACAAAATAAAGCAAAATAATTTTTTGAATTTGAAATTTTTTGGGAAAATAATTGCCCCACACGCCATATAAAGTACAAAGTTATAGATTTCGCTCCTAATAACAAATCAATTATGACAAATAAGCTTCCTTCAACCAATTTGGAATAATTTCTATAAACCGCAATTATTCTTTGGAATAAACCGCAATACTTGAGGTAATACAAGGCAAGAACAAAAGCTAAATTCTTCTTTCTTTTTTTGTTTTCAAACATTTTATTGTGAGTAAGAGCCACATATGTGTATAAAAAAAATATACGCGTACAATTTAAAAAAATACTGTCATGAAAAACGACGGACGAAAAATGGGAAAAAAATGATAACAGTTATTTAAATCATGTACTCGTATGTACTCGCGCGAAAACTTGTGTTTACTTTGTGTCAGCAAAACATCTGACTAGAGTGCAAATATTCCGTTTCTTTCGTAATGAAAGTCCAAACAATAAGAAATTCTACTTTGAGAGGGGTAGTACAACAGAGCCGAAGTACAACACTATCGAAAAAAAGACGTTGTTCAACAGCGCCGAAACTTATTTTGAACACTGTTTTCATTCATCCTTAATCACTGACAAGTAATTTAATTCATACTGACAAAAAATGAAAACAAATTGGTCATTTTTTGACGCCGCATGTTAATCAAAGCTTAGCAAGCGCTCCGTCCCAAATTTGCTGCACAAGCAGTTAACTCATATAAATATTCTGAGCAAACTGTTCAAAGCACACATAATGTAGTCCAGAACATTGCAGTTGACATTTTTCAAACCCCCAGAATTTTACAATAAATCATTCGAGGTGAAAAATCTTTTTACGTTTGAACTCAGGAACTCATTATTTTCAATGGGACATAAAAAAATTTGTTGAGAAATGTTATTTCGACCGGTGAAAAATGACTGAATAATAAAAACCACATCGAGCATACAAATTCTTTTTTCTTCAAAAAGATATTTGTTCTAAAAATGGAGCTAAAATTTGAGCTAAAAAATTATTATGAGCCCTGAAAGTTCCAAATGCTTTTACGGTTTATGGAAAAGTAATTACATGAAAAAATTAAATGTAACAAAATAAAGCAAAATAATTTTTTGAATTTGAAGTTTTTTGGGAAAATAATTGCCCCACACGCCATATAAAGTACAAAGTGATAGATTTCGCTCCTAATAACAAATCAATTATGAGAAATAAGCTTCCTTCAACCAATTTGGAATAATTTCTATGTTGAATTAAATCTTTGCTTACGCGTTATTAGCCCGAAATATATCGCGGGTTAATTGTCCCAAGTTGGCCAAAATGGCAATCTTTAAACCCTCATAACCTTACAAAAAATGATCACAGTAGAAATACTTTTTCAAATTTAAGCTCAAGTGAACAATACTTTTTGAATGACATTAAGAATCCCGTCAAAAATGGCTATGTAAAAAGTCGAAATTTTTCTGGAGAAAAAAAACCCACGAAGAAAAAAAACAAGAAGAAAAGCAAGAAAACAGAATTCAAAACAAGCTTTTAAAAATGAGCACAAAAACTTCATCAGAACAGAACTTTTCATAGGTAAATATTTGACAAGTATACCTGAAGCAGGCTGTCTTGTATCACTTCGTTACTTATCAAAAATGATATTATATCACTGTCAAGAGTAACAAGCAATTTGAAACATAATTAGATCCAAGTGAGTTTTTTTGTTAAAAGAAATCAAGTGAAACTGCAAAATCATACCGCAAAACTTGAGGTAATACAAGGAAAGAACAAAAGCTAAATTCTTTTTTCTTTTTTTGTTTTCAAACATTTTATTGTGAGCTAGAGCCACATATGTGCACAAGAAAATATACGCGTACAATTAAAGCAAAATACTGTCATGAAACAACGACGGACAAAATATGGAATAAAAATGATAACAGTTAATTAAATCATGTATTCGTATATACTTGCGCAAAAACTTGTGTTCACTTTGTGTGAGCAAAACATCTGACTAGAGCGCAAATATTCCGTTAATTTGGTTACGAAAGTCGGAACAAGAGAGGGGTAGTACAACAGTGCCGAAGTACAACACTATCGAAAATAAGACGTTGTTCAACAGTGCCGAAACTTATTTTGAACACTGTTTTCATTCATCCTTAATCACTGACAAGTAATCTAATTCATATTGACAAAAAATGAAGACAAAATTGGTCATTTTTTGATGCCGCTTGTTAAGCAAAGTTTCGCAAGCGCTCCGTCCCAAATTTGCTGCACAAACAGTTAACTCAGCAAAAAAAAATATTTTGTTATATTAAGAGCATATTATGATATCAGAACTCCAGAACTCTGTGACATTTTAATTGACTTTGTATGATTAAAAAGCTACATTTAAAATGAACGTTAACTGAAATAAAATTTTGGAACAGCAAAACAGCACAAACTTTGGCTCTGGTATGAAAAATTTAGCGTCTAAATTAGACCAAACGGTTAAAACATGAGCATCTTTCAAACTCAATATGAAATAACAAACTAGTCGTCAAATCGATGATCGATTGCAAAAATTTGAGTAATTTTTTCATTGGGTTATTAGTTATGTCATCAGTTGAGCAAAGGGGGACCATAAAAAGATAATGGAGGACGTCAGAATGAGAGCCGGTAGCAATCCGCGGGTATCTCGGTAGTAGGGGTGCAAAGAGTTTGCGGGTGACTTGGGTCTCGGTCCCATCACCATCTCGGCTCCCGCCCCTGCCTCTTCTCCGCTCATGGAATCTCTCGTGGAATCCCTCATCATAGAGATAGACACTGCACTTGAGGGGTAATTGCCATCAGAAGGTTTCATGGGTCGAACTGGTTTGTCGAGGAAGTCACGCACTGAAAAAAAAATAATTTCAAAGCTGAATATTTTGTCAAATTTTTAAATTGCCTGAAATTAAACAATCCAGGTTTAATTTCAGCCAAATATTAATAATGTTACAGCATTACGTTTGAACTCAGGAACTCATTATTTTCAATGGGACATCAAAAAAACTTGTTGAGAAATTTTATTTCGACCGGTGAAAAATGACTGAATAATAAAAACCACATCGAGCATACAAATTCTTTTTTCTTCAAAAAGATATTTGCTCTAAAAATGGAGCTAAAATTTGAGCTAAAAAATTATTATGAGCCCTGAAAGTTCCAAATGCTTTTACGGTTTATGGAAAAGTAATTACATGAAAAAATTAAATGTAACAAAATAAAGCAAAATAATTTTTTGAATTTGAAGTTTTTTGGGAAAATAATTGCCCCACACGCCATATAAAGTACAAAGTGATAGATTTCGCTCCTAATAACAAATCAATTATGAGAAATAAGCTTCCTTCAACCAATTTGGAATAATTTCTATGTTGAATTAAATCTTTGCTTACGCGTTATTAGCCCGAAATATATCGCGGGTTAATTGTCCCAAGTTGGCCAAAATGGCAATCTTTAAACCCTCATAACCTTACAAAAAATGATCACAGTAGAAATACTTTTTCAAATTTAAGCTCAAGTGAACAATACTTTTTGAATGACATTAAGAATCCCGTCAAAAATGGCTATGTAAAAAGTCGAAATTTTTCTGGAGAAAAAAAACCCACGAAAAAAAAAACAAGAAGAAAAGCAAGAAAACAGAATTCAAAACAAGCTTTTTAAAATGAGCACAAAAACTTCATCAGAACAGAACTTTTCATAGGTAAATATTTGACAAGTATACCTGAAGCAGGCTGTCTTGTATCACTTCGTTACTTATCAAAAATGATATTATATCACTGTCAAGAGTAACAAGCAATTTGAAACATAATTAGATCCAAGTGAGTTTTTTTGTTAAAAGAAATCAAGTGAAACTGCAAAATCATACCGCAAAACTTGAGGTAATACAAGGAAAGAACAAAAGCTAAATTCTTTTTTCTTTTTTTGTTTTCAAACATTTCATTGTGAGCTAGAGCCACATATGTGCACAAGAAAATATACGCGTACAATTAAAGCAAAATACTGTCATGAAACAACGACGGACAAAATATGGAATAAAAATGATAACAGTTAATTAAATCATGTAATCGTATATACTTGCGCAAAAACTTGTGTTCACTTTGTGTGAGCAAAACATCTGACTAGAGCGCAAATATTCCGTTAATTTGGTTACGAAAGTCGGAACAAGAGAGGGGTAGTACAACAGTGCCGAAGTACAACACTATCGAAAATAAGACGTTGTTCAACAGTGCCGAAACTTATTTTGAACACTGTTTTCATTCATCCTTAATCACTGACAAGTAATCTAATTCATATTGACAAAAAATGAAGACAAAATTGGTCATTTTTTGATGCCGCTTGTTAAGCAAAGTTTCGCAAGCGCTCCGTCCCAAATTTGCTGCACAAACAGTTAACTCAGCAAAAAAAAATATTTTGTTATATTAAGAACATATTATGATATCAGAACTCCAGAACTCTGTGACATTTTAATTGACTTTGTATGATTAAAAAGCTACATTTAAAATGAACGTTATCTGAAATAAAATTTTGGAACAGCAAAACAGCACAAATTTTGGCTCTGGTATGAAAATTTAGCGTCTAAATTAGACCAAACGGTTAAAACATGAGCATCTTTCAAACTCAATATGAAATAACAAACTAGTCGTCAAATCGATGATCGATTGCAAAAATTTGAGTAATTTTTTCATTGGGTTATTAGTTATGTCATCAGTTGAGCAAAGGGGGACCATAAAAGGATAAGGGAGGACGTCAGAATGAGAGCCGGTAGCAATCCGCGGGTATCTCGGTAGTAGGGGTGCAAAGAGTTTGCGGGTGACTTGGGTCTCGGTCCCATCACCATCTCGGCCCCCGCCCCTGCCTCTTCTCCGCTCATGGAATCTCTCGTGGAATCCCTCATCATAGAGATAGACACTGCACTTGAGGGGTAATTGCCATCAGAAGGTTTCATGGGTCGAACTGGTTTGTCGAGGAAGTCACGCACTGAAAAAAAAATAATTTCAAAGCTGAATATTTTGTCAAATTTTTAAATTGCCTGAAATTAAACAATCCAGGTTTAATTTCAGCCAAATATTAATAATGTTACAGCAGGACGAGGTTTTTACCATATAATTAGACAATTTATCCGCTAAATAAATCCGCCCCTGAATATAGACAATTTTGTACATTATAAGACATTTTATCAATTTTTGTCCTTAGTTGGTCGTCGTTTTCGATTGTGGACAAAGAAAAAAATGCGGTTGCATGCAAAAAAAATTCTCAATTGAGCTTTAAAAAAGGCATTGCTTAAATAATACATTTATTATCTTCTCACCGTTTCCGAATGCTGTCATGCCATCTTCCGCGTAATCCCCCCAAATGCCTCCTCTGTTCGGAATTATGCTCCCCCTTTGCCCGCCCTCAATCACCTGCCCTTTTGTGTTTGAACCGTCAACTCTTCCCCCCTCTTCTGTCTTGTCCGAACCCTCAATTACTGCTTTCTGCTGGTCAAACTTCATCTGTACACAGTAGATGCGAATGTTGTCGTACGCACCTAACAATTCATAACTCTCCTTTCAACATGAATAAGAAAGAGAATGAATTACAATTTTATTCAAAACGCTAGCAGATTTACGAAGAATTAAAACTATTTGCAAAAAAATGAGTCTTAAGATTGCGCTTAAACGTTTAGAGAATGCCTACATCGAAGATCCTCTGAAATTTTACTAACTCGAGCAGCAGAAAAAGCATCAGAGCAACGCCCTGAATGTTCACACAGCAATAATTCAGTCACCCATAATTTAAAAACAAATGGTCGCAAGTGAGTTTTTATTTATTTTAGAGGTTTCAGATGGTATAAAAAATTAAACCATAACTGTCTAGATAAAAAGTGAGTTTCGAAGTTTGCCAGTTAAAAAATTACTGAGTCGAAAAGATTAAAAACCGCTCCGAGCAGAGATATTGTGTACACTTCTTCGAAAGTCGGAATAAAAAGATCGCTTATGAGTCCAGTAGGCATTTTTTTACACTAGTTATTACCGTTACCTTTACTTCTTTCGAGAGACACCAAAAAAGCATTTCTACGTGTCCAATGATGTCTCATAAGCCAATCTTCACGCATTGTGTTTTGGATCGATGACTTCTCGGATATACTTAACAATAGGAAAGGGGGAGATTGTTAAGCATTCGAACAGTCGAATTTTTGACCAATGAGAATGCAGCAATATTAGAATTTGTAATAGAAAGCTCTGTTGAGCTAAATTACTGTTTTTATTCATATAAATGGGGGGGGGGGGAGATTGTTAAGTAGATATCATAGGGGGGAGGGGGAGATTGTTAAGTGATCCGAATTCTCTACTATTACAGATATAAAATTCCTTAAACCTGGGTAGATAAACGTTTTCTTAGGGGAAAAGTTTTTCTTGAAAAAAGTTTTATCTTAATTTACTAACTTGCTGAAAAGTGTGCGTATTCATTTTGTAAGCATGATTTTTCGTTGACTCGTTGCAAGATTAACGTTTAAATTTAGCTCTTTATTTTTTTTCTTCATCCTACTTGAAAACATTTCCCGTAGCGTAACAAGGGCAACAACATATAACAAAGATTACAATGGTAATCTCGTGCGACAAACACTGAGATTTTAAATCTGACTTAAAAACGAAACCATTAGAAAAACAAATTATTCAATTAAAAGTAAACTGCCCACACTTGAAAAATATTTGTTTTTCACTCTATCAGCTTATCGCTTTTCACAATTTTAAACACTTATTGGGCCTGTTTTCGGAATATAATAGACTTCAGCGTTTTTAATTTGGGCGGTTTTTTCGACCATTATTTAATTGTTTAAACTCTGTGGTTTTGATCTACTTTGGCGCGAAGGACCGAATAGGCGAAAATGTTATCAGCCGATGAAAACGATTTGATCAAGTCATATTGATTCGTTGAGAATTTTTGCTCACTCGGTCCTTCGCCCATGAGAGTAGCCCCCGAGGCCCGTACCTATGCATATGTCCATTCCGTAGAAGCGCATCGTGTTCCCGTCACACAGTTCCAGGCAGTGACCAGGGATGTTGTTTTTAAGACAGCAGTCGAACACGTTGGTGCTGCGGGGATAGTGCTTGTCCACATAGCTACCGTCCACCCCTCCAACGCTGCCTCCAAGCCAACATAACAGCACACACGACCACAACTGAAAAGTCAAAGCGAAATTTACTTTACAAAATGCTTGGGGAGCAGTGGTGAAGTGGTTAACGTCTCCGCCTCTCAATCGAAAGGTCGGATGTTCGAGGCCCACCATGATCCGTGCTCGTTGCTTGAGGGTGAGGCAACATTACCCAGCCCAGAAAAATAACCAAAAAAAAAATTGCAAGTAGTTCTTAAGCAGGGGCACAACAGCGGTTCGCCGTGATGAGCTGTACAGCTCGTATGTTGGTCCTATCCCTCGTGGATAAATGATCTTAAAATGCTAGTTACACAAAGTCATCTCGCTGAAAAATGAGAAGCTTTTTCATACCTCCCCCTCCCGACCACCACCACTGACAAAATAGATTTGTGTGAGAACCAGTGTTCAATTTCGAAAAAGGATTGAAAAAAGATGTAAGCTAATTTCTGCGGCTGTTTGATTCTAATAAAACACTCTGGTGGTAAAAAACCGAGGTCTTTATTTTTTGAAAAAAATGCTTATCATACAATTCCCTTATATGGAAATTGTATGATTCGCATTTTTGTGATGATTACACACAAATAATTTTGAAATAGCTCCAAAACGTTTCAACAGCAAATCGAATTTTGTACTCAAACAAATATTTTCCAAAAAATTTTTTTTTTGCATGGAAAATTTAATTTTTGTGTGCATAACGTAGTCCTGGATACACTACTGTTGGATTTTTGTCCTTTTCGCTGACTCGTAATTTTTTTTGCAAAAAAGCTGAAAACTCCTATTTTTTTTAATTGCAGGTTTATGTAAGCCCTGATCAAAAACTGATAATTAAAAGTTCCAAATGTTAAAAATAATCAATGTTGAAAATTTTTGCCAAAATTTAAAAGTTTGTTATCATTTGTAAAAAGCAGCTCTAAGACAATTCCGGTCGTTTTCTATGCATGGTAAATGCAAGACTTTTCAATTTTTGGTGATTTGAGTAAACCAAGGTCTTGGTCAGTTGCGTTTGGTTACGAACACAATCCAAAAACTTTCAGAAATTAAATTTAGAGAAAAAATCAAATTTTTTTTGTGTATGGAAAACTACTGGTCATACAATTTTCATATATGGAAAATGCTTATCAGACAGATTTTATACAATTTTCTGAACGTACGGAATTGTATGATAAAAAATTTTTTCATAATGGAAATTGTATGATAAGAAGTTTTGGTCAAACCGGGAAGTCTTTAAACATGTTAAATTTGTATTGAAACGATCAAAGGAAATGAAAGAACAAAAGAAGAACAAAGGGAGCGTCCTTGTTGCGGAATCTGCATAAACTTCCCAAAAAAATCACAGTTTGGTGTCGTATGATTTTGACATATTTGAGGTGATTCCCGGTCAAGAAATTTGATAAACTTTCTAAAACACAAAAACTGATTTTAAACTTTTTTCCTCGCACGTAAGGCTAAAACAGAACAAACCTTTTACAATTTTGTTCAATATAATTCAAATTGGAAAAAAAGGCAAAGAAAAAAAATTTTGTTATGCGTTTTTCAGCAAATTTCAGAAAAATATCAATGAAAAGTATCAAATTTGGCTACTAACAGTTTGAGCAATTTTTTAAAATCATCTGCAAGAATTCGATACGCTGAGTCCGAACATAATACATATTTTACCTGCACTTGTTTTTTAACAGTTTATGGGGGGTTTGAAAATGGCTAATTTGGTAAAATTATGATGGGTATACTTCTTTTTCCTAAAAGCGTGCGTGCAAACAGCTCAAAAATCCTTGAAAATTGAAATGAAAGCAACCTCTGCAATTCAAATTTTATATTATTTGACCAAAACGATGTCAAGTTGTTTTCAGCTCTGTGTATGGCATACGTTTTTTTAAACGTTTTTATGAGTTTTTTTTCAAAAATCTCATCAAAAATTTTCAAACCAAACTAATTCAGATGTATTTAAGCCCGGATTAGATACGTCAGGCTAGGAAAGATTTCATGATTATTTTTGGGGTAGCATAAAAAGTTTTTCTTCAAAGCCTAGATTAGATACGTCTTTTTGTAATACTAGCAAACATTTGATGTTTATATTTTTGTGATATTCAATCTTTCAAGAGATGTTTCGTGTCTAGGGTCTTTATCAAATTTAATTGCGATCTTGATACCAAAATTTTGTCAATTGAACATTTGCTCACAAGTTCAAAATGTCGTACTGATAATCCTTTTAATCGGGAAAAGAAGTCATTTCAAAAAAAGTACCCACGACAAGACACTATTATCAAAAAAAAATCTTTTAAAAGAGACAGAATAAGTTTTTCAATCAGGTAAAAACTGACTCTTTAAAGTTCATCAGTTTTGAGTCCTTTTTGAGTCCTTTTTAAAACCTTTTTGAGTCTTATTGTTAGTGTTTTTGACTGCTTCGATTTATTTTGAACTGTTTTATTAACATTTCGTTACCAATTTTGGCCAAAATATGCGCTGGTCCAACTAAGAATCAGGGCTGTTCATAAGTTTTGCACCGTTATTTTAGCGCTGAATTAGCGTTGATTCCGCAAAGAATCTTGAACGTTCTTGGGTTTTAACTCAACTCTGAATCGGATTTGAACATTACCTGGCCATGGATAATTGATCACTGATAAAGGACAAAATCAGCAATGTTACATTTCTAAAAAATTTGCTGATCGAGCAATAATTAAATATGGCAGGTCAACTCAGTTAATGAAAAACCTTCGCTTTATTTCTGAATTAATATTTGAGGGTTGTATAACCATAGCTTGTCTGTTGACCACTCTGAGATAAACAATTATAAAAAGCGCATAAATTAGTTCCCCAAATGGGCGTTTTTTAAACCTTCTGAATTTTCTGTAAAAAACTGCAATGAAACTTCTTCATTTTCGAAAAGACCAGCCCGAGAGCATAAGCATATTGAGGAGGGGACGATAGACAGAAAGGTCCAAAAGCAATGTTATCTGAATGGGAATTACAATGTTGAAAAATTCTGTCAAAGGCCTGGCGGTAAGCGCGCGCCACCGCTCAGCGCCGATAACGTCCAGGATTTTTGTAAACAGCACATGTTTTGGAACTGACAGGCACGAATCACGTAACAGCCCGATTGCAATATACGTATGGTTCTGCATATTATACATATATTTTTTAATTTGGACCATTTTTTTCTCAGATTGGCTTTCCAGCTTTCACTAGCTACATAGTCTTAATGCAGAAAAAATTTGTGCTTATTAATCGGCGTAACTTTTGACTGCAAATTAATTTTCCAATTGCCATTTTCCTGAGCTCTTCAATATATTTTGGTTGCGGCCTTCGAAGGACTTGGGAGTAGATTTTGTCCGGCTTAAGACGAGAAAGAAAATGCTGTGAAAGTGCATTTAATTAACTTACCTGAAACATTGTAGGAATTGCAACGAGGCAACTGTTGAGCATTTCCGGATAAAACATGGTTGGAAGATTAATCAATTTCATGATAACCAAAATGATGAAATAGAGTTTTGTCAATCTTGTGTTGATTACTTGATAAGAAAATGTAATCTGTTTGCGTGTGTAGGTAGGTGCATGTAAGTTAATATAAAATATGGTGATGATGTCAGACAAATGCGGCCGTCAATTATTTCAGAAGTTCAGCTTTTGTATTGTACCACGTGTAGTGTTTGTCTCGAATGAGGGCCAAATAATCGGATTAACAAGAACGGTGATAAAAGATCTGAGCGAGCTGTGAAGGCTTTCTGTGATTATTTTTTAGTTTTCGACTCAGCTTTGAATGGGATTCAAAATGTATCAATGGGCTCTGACATTGTCAATTTGAGTTCAAATGCCTTTAAAAACCAACAAATCTTAATCTCAAATGGCTGTTGTCAACAGTAAAGATAACGTTGTCTGATAAACAAAAAACTATGCATTAAGTTTCATCTGCGGAACAAAATATTTTTTTTTCGACTTTTCCCTGACAAGCTTTGTTTTCTGTTATTTTTTATATTTTTCCAATCAATTTTTCCTGGTTGTTATGCAATATGTAATTGAAACGTACGCCTTAACAATGCAAAAAGGGTAATAAAACACTACAAACATCTGGAAATTACAGCCAAATTTAATGATGTGAAGCCCCACAACAATGCAGCCTATTGTATTTTTTTCTAAATTCAGGTGTTTTTCAAATTAAAAGACAATATGGAAAAACTGGTGTTTTTATTGATTCAAACAAACGCCTCGGAAACAAAACATTGTCTAAAACGTGCATCAGTTTCAAAAGGATCACAGGATTTTTTTTCAATAAAGGTATCAAAAATTCTTTGTACTGAGTTGAGTCACCCGTTAAATAAAACCGTATGGCACAATAGGAACCTAAGTGAATAATTTTATGAAAGCGATTTTTCGCTATATAAAATTCATAATCTTTTTGAAGTTTGCAAATCGAAGCATGAAAATCAGGCTTGAAAGATCACCTGTCAATGGTGTAACAAAAATCTATCCGGAGTTGAATCTTTTAGCCAAAAAATAAACAACACATTTATTCTTCGTGAGAAAACCAGCCTAAGTTAAGTTTCAATTAGAAAGGTTTCATAAATGAAGTTGGTTTGTTGATCTGTCGGCAATTGAGCATCGAATGATCGAATAGACCTGCAGGTTCGAGTTTATTACCACGAATTGTGTCTAATTTTCCCAATTTCTCAGGTGCGTTTCCTCAGTCTTTAAAAATGTTCAACGGCACAGATTATAAGCCGAAGAATCTTTTTGCCGAAAATCGAACAGCAATTTACGACAAAAACCTGTTTTCAATGTATAAAAGAATAATAAATTTAACAGTTGTCATTAGTCATTATAAATCCATTTTTTTTCACACATTTTTACGCGAGTCGGAGTCGATATAAAATTTTCCAGTACTAGATAATAATAAATTAGTTCAAATTGAGAAAAAAAAACTGTTTTGGATTTCTTCTAAAAGAACTTTCTTCTAAAAGAACGGCTAAAAAGTGCAGACTGCAGATACACGGCGCAGAGCAGATGCGCGTTAGCTTAGGGCGGAGAGGTGATTGATATTCTATATTACAATTTCGGAAACCAACAAAAATAAAAACACATGAGACAAACAATTTATTTACTGGATGTTTTCTGTCAATCAATACTAGCTTTTCTTTTTCATCATTAATTTTGTTTGTTCTTGCAGATTCTGATGTCCATTAAAAATTGGCTGAAAACAAAGTGAAATTTTAAAATTAATTTCATGATGCCCCCCCTCCCCCCGGCTGCCGCCAACTTTGAAACCTTTCACGAATTACTCAAAAAGTTCAAAAATTTTGAAGACGAACGATTATTTAGGCATTAAATATCTACTAAAACGCAACCTATAATTTTAGAAAAAGAAACTCTGCCTTTTATGGGGAATACCAGAAAAAATCTACACAACCTCTTTTGAGTGAAAGAACAGCAAATTATCCACGAAAATAAATTTCGAGGTAGTTTTAAATTTTATAGAGAACTTGAAACCTCGCATTTATTTTAAGTTTTTTTCAACAAAATCTAGGTCGGTTTCAAAATAAAAACATCCGACTTGAAATTTTCGGACGTTTTGAGAAAATGCTGACAGATAAGACCACACATCATTATTGTAGAAATAAGTAAGCAATGGTTAAATAACAGAATGAACTCAAGTCAAAGTATTTATCTGATAATAATAGACATTAATCAAAATTCAATCAGTAAATTGTGTAATTGACTTTTGCATGCCAGTTACCATCACAATTTAACTATTTTTTTACATCCAATCATTATACTTTTTGAAAATGTATTTTTTGAGAAACGGATACTTTGACAGGAACTACAATAAGGCTGCAGGCAAAAACGAGGCTGAATATTGCCGCAAATGATTTGCAACGTGAGGCGGTATTTTTCTGTCATAAATCACAAATTGGCAAACAAAGATACACAAGTTTACCTGGTAAAAGGTACCCATATATATTTTTGCTTTGTTTTGGACACAAAAAGGGTTGCATGAGGAGGTTATTTTCCACCCCTGGGATCTGACAAGATTAGATCTATAATTTAATAGGGGAGACAAAAATGAGAAACTACATATGCAAGGTGCTGGTTTAATTTCAAATCTACACCGTTCTCGGTAACAGATAACAACTACTCAATTTGGAGACATGGCTATGCTTTTAAGGGTGTCTTGATAGACTCCGCCCTTGGGGTGATTTAAAGATAAGCGCCTAAAACTCCCCCTCAAACCGATCTCATCCTAATGCATCTTCAACACACTATCAGGAGTGAGAGCTAAAAACAAAACAACTTATGCTAAATCGGCAACCAGGTCTTCAAAACCATCTTAGATGTACCGCTAAAGTCAAAGTGGTTTGTAAGAAACAGTCCTCAAGCGATTAGTAGTGAGCAAACATCTTATGTAGTCGCTCATTTCCTAAACATTTTGCAAAAAAAAATCAAAAATAAATGCTCCTCTCACTAAATGTACTTTTTTCTTTGATATTTCAGATTAATTCAAAAGTTTAAAAATTTGAAGTCGATATGCAATTTTGTTTTATTGCCGATTCCAATACTAACCTTTAAATCAACATTTTTCTTTGTTCAGAACTTAATGCAAGCAATCTGCTTGCCTATAAAGCACATGTTTTCAGATCTTCCACTTTGCTGTAATAGAAAGCTGTTTCCGACAACAAAATGGATAAGGCTTTCGTATTAAAAAGAGTGCCCAAATATGCTTCACTATGAGTTATTGAAGGTGCTTATGAACTTTGATGCCGGGTACAGTTTTCTGTTTTCCACGCAAAGCCTGAAGGGATGAGACTAAATAGGATTACTAGTACCAGAAATTGAAACCAAAATGGATTGATGCGTAAAAAGCACACAAAGTTTCAACCATTAATTTCTTTGTAACGCCAAATTTTTGAGGAAAAAATTTAAAAAATATATTTACACAAAGGCGAAGAGAAGCTTGCAATTCGTCAAAAAACAAACATAGCGAACAGTGTCAATGAACGCAAGTAACAAAAAATACTGATTTCATTACGAGGCCAAACTGTGCTCTTGATAGGCGCACAATTTTGTGTCTGTATGTTCCTGGATTCCAGAGACAAATCTTTAAACATGTTCCAAAAAGTAAGTGAATTCCACTTACAAAAGTTTCGTGGATTCCGCGTACAAATAGCTGTAATGTAAGCTTTGTCGGCACAATTGTTTTGTTACGGATTCCGCAACAAGCAAATATAGCTAATTGTTTTGGATTCCGCAACTGTACGTGGATTCCGCAAAATGTAAGAGGAATCCGCAAAATGTAGTACTAATCAAAGAAAAGTAGCAATGTTGCGGATTCCGCGACAAATCTATTTTGGCCTGTTGCGGATTCCACTTACAATGCAGAGAATGTACAGTTTGGCCTCGTAAGGTTATTTTTTGAAAAAATCTCCATTTTCGACTGAAAATGGATGTCCTTATAGCTCGTTGAATTTCTAGAACATTCTATGATCGGCTTGGCGTTTTTCTTCACAAAATTAACTCAATTAAAAAATCTGGGTCAATAGGTTAAGCTTTTTTAATTGAGTTTCACTTTCGAAACTAGAAGTCGATCAAACTTTTCGTGGCTTGAACACTTTTTGTTCAATACTGCGTTCCTTTTAATAAAAGACATGCACTGACTTAAAAAAAAATCAAAAATTTAATTAAGAAAAAGTAAATTTGTACCTGAACCATTTTTAAAACTTTGAAAAAAACATCGAGATCTATATTATAGTCTGAACTACGTTATAAAAAAATTGAAGGCTTAAAAATTCAGAAATAATCTGAAAATTCAATCGAATGTATGTCAAAAAATCAAAATAAGAAAAAAAGGTTGACACCCTCGCAAGGCTTCAAATTTTCTGAAGTTTTATTTAGCACGAATGTCAGAAATTTTTTTGAAAAGAATATTCCATTTTAGAGTCGGGTATTTTACTGTTTTTTAACAACCGTTCCTATTAAGCTATGACTTACTTGCAAGAGCTCACCGTCCAAATTTCAGTGCATGTGCGATTTCAACTCGCATTTTTGTGGTTACTGGACACCATCACTACTGGAGCGCTAGAATGCCACAGTCACATAAAAAAGTGTAATCCTAATTCTCCACGGGCAACTTTACTTTTAATGAATGTGATATTCTCAAAAAAATTGAAATAACGGATTTAAACTAGCAATTGGAAAATTTATAGAATAATTTTGAAAAAAAAGTTTAAAAGATTGTTATTTTTTTCAGAATTTTTCGCTAAAAATTGGAAGTGATTGAAAAAGTATTCAGATAGAGTGAGACTTAGAAAAAGGCGAGCAGTAAAGCCAAACAATTTAATCAATTAAATGTTTAACATAAAAATCTTTCACTTTACGTTTGATGGAACTCAAATTCGATAAGTTACTAAGCGTTCAATCCTCCATCAGTCAAGTTTCAATGAGCGAAGCAGTTGGTGTGTAAAAAAAATAGAAAGTTCGCAGACAGCAACGAAATTCATCAAAATTTTTCGAAAAAAAGATAAGCAAAAATTGAAATTGACTTTATATGACATCACGCATTGAAATTTGTAAGCAAACTTCTCTAGGGGGGAAACGTCTGGTACTCATGTTAAACACACTTGCTATCGGAACCGTGATACAGTTTCGAAAAAACTTAAACATTTTTTTTTCATTTTCTGTGTTTTTTGGGCAATAAAAGAAATTCAAGAGGCAATTGAATAGCAGCAGTTGATGCAGCTATAAAATGCGCAAAATTCCAGCTCATTTAATGAACAGCGTGGAAAATTTCTTGAAACTTAATTAATTGCCCAAAACCAGAATACATTGAAACGTTTATTAATTTGAAAAAAGCCAAAACTTTAAGTAGATTTGGTGCTGCGACAACTAAGCCGACAGAAAAGCAGACAAACAGTAGCCCGAAAAAGATTTTATAACGCTCGGACTATCTTCCCCTTACAAAAAAAAACAGGACCTAAGCGGATTCGAACCATTGACTTTTGTCTTTATAAGCAGGTGCGTTAGCTTTTCGCCACATACACAAATTAAAAGCTGACTTTTAATGTCATATCAAAGTAAGGTAAAAGGATTCGTGAATCTTTTAAAAGTGTTAATTCGAAAAAACTTTGATGTTTTACCGATGGAATCTTTTCAACTTTGATCGATTGACTTTCTTGGTTTCAATTGTTTACACATTTTTTTAGTTCATTTCCGCCACTAGCCTGAAACAAACAATTGGTTGGAACGCAAATTTAGATTTTGACGTCATTTGAGCTATTAATTACTTTTCATTTGTGCTGATCATAGCATAGTGAGGCACTTAAAAAGTGGTAAGGCATTCACTTCGAGATCGCCAGATCGTTTAATCGATCCCATGTCATGGCAATGATAGTGTGTGAGGACGAGCTCTCACTTGACCTCTAGCTCCAGGTCTACCGCAACTTGACCGATTACGGCTGCATTAGTGGTACCTCGTGGAAGTTCTAGACGCAAAAAAATTGCCTTGAGTCGCAAAAAGAGCTTCGCTCAACAAAATTTACTCAGTCTAGAATATGGGAAATATGAGAAACGGACTATACTTAGACAGGCCGGAGAGCCATTCATAGATCCTTTGCGAGTCGCAGAAACCACAACTTTATTATTATTATTTACTTATTTTCATTTGATTCAATATCTGGAAAACGAAACAAGGCTGGAACAAAAACAATGGCTTAGAGTGTTTTTTTTGTCAAGATTTTTTGACTCATTTTGTCTACCTCTCTGACCAACATTCGCTGACTTATACTTCGGTAGCCTACTTAAATTTCTCAACGTTCACAATCATCCATTCCCATCTAAATTTTCATTGGATTATCTTTTCAAATTTTCGATATAGAAACGAACAAATATATACATATTTACAGTGAAAGATAATCTTCAGCTTAATTTGACTAATAAACACAAAATTGGCAACTTTAATGAACAGTTTCAGCTAAAATGAAGCTCTATCAGTAAAAAACTGCTCTAAAAGGCGAGTGTGAGGACGACGGAATTTAAGTTATATGCTAATTTTTACAAAGAAATGTTTAAAAGTTCATTTTCACCACTAGTGTGACCACAGGAAACATTTTTACAACAGCTACTTTATATAGCGCGAGTTTAATTTGATGTCCTTCAAACCATCATTGGGTCTCACTTGACATGCACAATAAGAACTTGATCATCTCTCGAGTGAAGACAGGGGTGTTGTCCACGTAGGAGGGATGCCCTGCATCAGGCACTATGAATGTTGTGCTGTGCTTCAGACGGGCCAGATTATCCAGCGACACTTTACCCAACTGGTTATCTCTCTCCCCCTTCATAATCAACACTGGAGTCTGTAAAAAAAATCAAACAATAATTCAATTTACTCTAACTTTTGGTACTACTTAATTATATCTACTTAACAATTGCCCCCTTTCACTGGCGAATTTTCGGCCAATCAGATAGCAGCAAAACTCGAATTTTAAATACAACGCTATAGTGCTATTTCACTGCTTTTATACCAAATTTGATACTAAAGGGAAGATGATTGTTGAGATCTTTATTTTTGCTTCAATCACTTTTATCTATCTTATTAGAGTTAAACTGAGATATTGCTTCAAAAAACACTTCAAAACGGAAGATTTGACTTATTACATTCTCCCAATTTCCGCATGTTACATTTATTGAAATTACACTCAAGTTTAAATTTTTTAGAAAAGTTTTGAGAAATCATCTCGATTCGCATCCTAAAGAAAATCAGCATTGCTCTGGCATAATTAGCGCAATATTTACACAAAGGCGAAGTATTTACACATAGCTATTAAAGCCTGCAATATTCTAATTAATGCGCAAACTAGATTGCTCTAATTGCATTCTCAATATAATATTTTAAGAGCACAATCAAAAGTAGCTCCTCCTTCCTCACCCCTACCCACCCTTCGAATTTCAGATATGGAATTACATACTTCAATGGTGGTGGCATCTGTTCCAGTGAGCAGTTCAGTCGAAGTGGGCGCAGCTGCAACAAACCCCACTAACTTGGGGTTCAACCTAAAACACTTATAATTGATAACCAATTGACAATTCTACAAAACTTTGAGAACACACTACAGCCGAATGAAACTTGGAAATTTAAAACGTGTTTTTATCGAATTGGGTAGGTTTTTGGCGGGCGGATAGTGATGAGAACAAAGCTCAAAGGCTGCTTTGAATTTTGCCAGATTTTTTATGGTGCAGTTATTTTGCGAAGGAATCTAAATTTTCGTCAAAATTGACCCTCGGTTATTTGATCAAAATTTACGCAAACTACCCAGTCAATTTAAAAATGAATTATTTAACATGGGCTTCCTATCCAGCGCAACAAAGTATCAGAGAGGCAAAATGAAACTTTACATCTTTTGCGATCGCGCAACATCAAGAGAAAGTGATGCAGAGAATGAACGCGGTCAAATATATAGTTTCAAAACCCAAAACTTCACATTTTCGGACAAGATGTTTGAACAACTACTGAAATATAATTAAAAAACGGATAATTAAGACAGATACAGGATACAGCCACAATATCATTGAGCCCACGAAAACTAGACCTCATCAATTTCGAAATACTCGCTGTAGGATAAAGATAAGTTCGAACATTATAGAGCCCTAACTATTTTCTAAAAACTGCTCAGATGGGAAACGTAGCTTCGCACCACTTGCAATACAACTAAAACATAGCATTACAATCTTGTGAAGAGAAAACGAGACAAGCAAAATTAAAGGAAAATGAAACATAGCCAACTAACAGTTGGAAAAAAGTAATGAACGCAAGGAAACATAAAAAAACTGACTTGTTTTTTCAAGAGCCTTAAAGCTCTTTGAATTTTTAGAACAATTTATGATGGACACTTTTTTTGTTAAAATTAACCCAATTTGAGAAAACTGGATCAATACGTATAACTTTTATTTCGCTGCGAAATCTGATAATTACTTCCCATTTTCAGAAGTCGATCACGTTTTTCATGACTTTTTAAATTTTGCTGTTCGATAGTGGAGTTTGCCTTCCGTTCAACAATAGAAATACACTGAACTTCAAGGAAACTTCAAGAAAAAATCACAAGTCCGCCGCTAAAAATCAAAATTGAGCGTGAACAATTCCAGAAAAAAAAACAAAAAAAAATCAGCAAGACCTACAATCAAAAAATTATATCGGTCTATATGATTACGCCTCTCACTTGATAGACTCCTCGAGCGCTCTCTGTGCTAGCCCGACAGCTCCTGCTCCTACTGCGTTAAAAAAGCTTGTACGAAAACCACGAATCCGAAAAAACGACCTTGATCACCGCCTAATAACAAAGCCAATCGAAGATTGGAAAAGAGTAATGAAAGCAAGTAAACAAAAAACACTGACTTTGTTAAAAATCTCAATTTTCGAATTTCAAAGAAAAAAATATATGCCCTTTAAGCTCTTTGAATTTCTAGAAAGATTTGTCTGGCGCTCTTTGGCATTACGCAAAAATCAAAACTGAGCGTGAACTTTAACTTTTTCCTGAAAAAAAAAAACGAAAAATGAGCTGACAAAAACATGAGATTGACAAACAAATCACCCAACGCGAGAAAACTGGATCGACAGGGAAACTAGAAATCACTCACGTTTTTTCGCGCCAATTCCACTTTCGTATTTGGAGAGTGCTATTTACGTAACTTTCAGCAGATGAATTTCAATTGAACTCAAAAAGTGCATACATACCTAAGTGCAATCATAAATGCATCAATATGTATGAATGCACATCTGTAGTAATTAGAGACTTGTATGCACATTTTAAGAATTTTTTAGCAATACCTATATAAGTGTCTTCACTACCTTCATTACTCTGAATAAACCACAGTCATTTTATTTGAATTTTCGAGAACTTAAACAGAGAGCGTAATAAATGGAGCCTAATTCACTTGAGATAATTAGGCTCCATTTGAGATAATTAGGCTCCATTTTGCTTGCGCGCACACATAAATAAAAAACTATTCCATGTATCACGGCTTAAATAACAAAGGCGTTTACAATAGATTTGGTGAAATATGATATTTAAGAGCACAATCAAACGAGTAGCCCCTCCTTCTTCAACCCCAACCACCCTTCGATTTTCATATATGGATTATTCAAACACGGCTTGGATGACTTAATATCTAACTGAGCAACTAGACTTACGTTTTGAGATAAGGTATAGAGTAACGCCCACTCATAGATGGCGACACAATGACAAACTTTGTAATTTTCAGAGAATCGATGAGATCATTTATGAATTCCACTTCTGAAGAAACCTTCTTGGATCCTTTTGAGTTGCCGAAACCTGAAACAATAAGTGATCCAATACCCTCAAATTACGTCTTTAACACTCATGTGATTTCAATAATCGCGTCATTAATATGGTTTTCACTACTTTAGCGACCTTTAGGAACATTGTGCATATCGAATAATGCAAGGACTCCGTCAACCAGTGAATTATGTCAGACATACTTTCTTCAACGTTAACATTTACAATCGGCATAAATTGAACATAGCCAACAGACAGTTGGAAAAGAGTCAATGAACGAAGTAACAAAAAAAAACTGACTTGTTTTTCTTGACAAAATCTATTGACTTTCAAAAAAAATAGATGGCCTTGCAGCTCTTTGAATTTCTAGAACAATTCATTTTTGACAACTTTTTGATAAAAACTAATCCAATTTGAGAAAACTGGATCAATAGGTTAAATTTTAATTCCGCTGGAAATCTAAAAATTAAATTCCATTTTCGAAATAAGAAGTTGATCACGTTTTTTCGTGACCTTTACACTTTCGCTGTTCGATAGTGGAGTTTGCTTTTCTTTTAACAACTTTAAATAAATTAAAAGTCAAACCGCGAAAAAACTAAATTTGAGCCTGAAATTGTCACGACCTATATAAGAGTCTCAATTAACTTCATCGACTCTTAATTACTTTCGAAAACAACATCAGGGAAGATTCCGAAAATTCGAGACACGCACGTCGGTTTGGTATCAAAGTACGCCGGGATCGAATGATGTTACAAAATTGACACAGATTGCACATTATATTTGGCAATTGAGCCTAAATATAACTTTACCGGGTAAATCAATGGCGATGCTATTGAACCCAAAACTGGCAGTCATCCGCATTATGTTAGTTTCGACCCACACTCGAGTAGTATACGCCATTCCGTGAAGAAACAAAACCCACGGCCTCTTCATGTGCTCACCGGCGCATGTTGTCATCACAGTGTACACTTGCGTGCCCAAAATGTCAGAGTAAGACGTCGTTTCATTCTACACATACAAACAAAACATAGCCAACAAATGGAAAAACTCAGTCCATTTTTAAACGTATAGTCATTCACATTTTACGTGACTTTTGCTGTTCGACAGTTGAGTTTGCCTTCCTTTTACTCAGAGGCGAAGCTTCGCCTTGCAAACACTAGCCAGAACACGACAAAAAGCAGCTCTATAAAGCTAATTAAGAAAAATTAGAAAGAAGCCTCGAATTCGTAAAAAAAAGTTACCGTACTGATGTTTTAAGCCACACAGCAAAAATGACCTCGTTTCAAAACTGTTTTTGCGCTGGGCTTGAACAAATTTTTACTCGAAAAAGGAAAAAAAATCAAATAAATTTCAATCACTTCGATCTTTCAAGCTTAAAAAAAAAACAATCTAAATTTCGGTAGCAATAGTTTACCACTTTACATAATTTCGTTTTGAAGCCAAAAATGTTTTTTTAACGGAAAATGTCAAAGTAAATGTATACTCCAACAAATATACTTTTCAAGTAAAAACTTGAAAAGTAATTGGCTCAAAAAAGAAGAAACATTTTCACGCTAATCCAACAGTTTTTATACGTAAAGATGCTAGTTGACATGAAGAAAATGATTAGTGATTGAGTAAGGGCTATTTAATTGCAACGGAATCAATAAAACTGTGTAAAATTGTAGTACTCACTATTCCAGCTTTACAGGACCCATTTCGGATCATGAATTCGGTAAGTCTACAGTTAGCATCAGAATTGTGTAAGATCGATAGCACTAGTTGTTGATATTGTTCCAGTTCTTTCACTTTGGGATCTAGGGCGTTCTTTTGTTTACCTCCAACTCCAAGAAACTGAAACTGTTGGTTCAAGTATTTGTCCAGCGCATCTGGCTCACCAGATGGCTCCAATCTTCCATCTGGTAGGGAATCACCGGAGGGCAATTTGAAGTACACGAAAACAAGGCTGAAACAAAAGGGTATCTCAAATCTAAATTATGATTCATTTTTGTTATGCAGTTTTATTTATGTGTCCAACTTACGTTACTATAAGGACGAGAAGCGCAATTTGTAGACAAAATTTTGTTTGTTTACCCATCAGGCAGCTGTATTTTGCTCCACCTATTCTGTATTCCATGTGAGTTTTATAGATAATCCAGATAATAACTGAAAAAAAATAATTGAACATCGATTTTTTCGTCTTAGTATGATCAGAAGGTCGAAAATATCAAAGTAACCGAGGTTACAGTCAGAAATCCTTTCCAGACAATATCCAGTCAAAATCCTAAGAACTTTCTAGATATTGAAGAGTAAAGTCGAATGTGGATAAAGTAAAGAAAGTCAGATGGTTGGGGATCAAGCCAACTAGATTGAGAAAACTACCACCTGCACAGAACAAACCGGAGTTGAAAGTGACTCATAAAAACAACCCTGACATGAGGCGACGGGTCTATATACATATATAAAGCTTCGCTTCTGTTCACTTGGCTCTAGAAATTTAAAAAAATTCTTCGAAAGTAGTTTTATCATAAATAGTGCCAAGAACACGGGCAGCGTTCGCAACCTGTATTGCGAGGGAGATTCTCTGATTACGAAAACTACCTGACCTTATTTCCGCGGTAAACGTGCTCAGTCTCTGAAAAAGTGTAACCTTCGCCCGCAAGTACATATCGACGGAAAATAAAGCTAGGTTCTAAAACGACTGGCTAGCGTCTAAATACAGCTCTACATGCTTTTCACCGTCTCTGCAAAAGCCAGCAGGGCTGTTCAAAAATCAATTGCAACACTAGCAATCAAAAAATTCTGTAACAGTCCATCATTGCAATGATACGAGATTTTACAATCAACATTGCCCAACTTTACAATCATTGCAATCAATTGCAACTAAAGTAAACTATAAAGTGAGTAAGAAATAAAAAGTTTAGCTCTGGCACTGACGCGCAGATTTGACACGAGTTTGTCTTCCCAAAATTTGTTGTTGATGCACAAAAAGAGCTGCATTGTTCAAAGCAAACTGAAAAACAAACATTACATCATCCAAAGCAAGCAATACGTGTTTGCACCAGTGCAGCTGTACGTGATTTCAATGACTGCATCCTCTACAATCAATCATTGCAGTTAGCTTCTCATAATCTGAAAACGAATTTAGATGTTATTAATTCAATTCACGACATGACCTTGCTTCTGGTCATGTCGTGAATTGACTTAATAACATCTAAATTCGTTTTCAGATTGTGAGAAGTTAATTGCAATGATTGATTGTAGAGGATGCAGTCATTGCAATAACGTACAGCTGCACTGGTGCAAACACCCATTGCTTGCTTTGGATGATGTAATGTTTGTCTTTCAGTTTGCTTTGAACAATGCAGCTCTTTTTGTGCATCAATAACAAATTTTGGGATGACAAACTCGTGTCGAATCTGCGCGTTATTTAAAATAATGTTTAAGTTCTCTCCCGAGACCCCTCCGGATTCTGGAATGCGGGCAAATAACAGTCTTACATCTTCCCGGAAGGCTGGACACGTCGTCCCAATACCCTTCCTAAATCTCGAAATTCGTGTTGTAACGATTGTAGCGGCACAATCGTTACAACTCGGAATGGTTTGTGTGACATTCGAAGAGAATGTACGAAAATGCAAAGTCAGAATTCGAGAATTTGTTGTGACATCGGAGTGGGAAGATTGACGATTTTAATGAATTAGAGGTCTTAATCGTTCATTTTGACGAACGCGGAAGGGTTAATTTGAACTTTCATGAAAATTTATAAAAATTCGTTCAAAAAGACACGTGACAACGTCGAGATTTCGCACCAACTGAAACGGCGAAAACACAACAACAGTTAGTCTCACACAGAAGAACAACAGAACTCGTGAAGAAAAGCAGCAAACGGAAATTGTGTGATATTAATTGAGATTGGAGAAAACTTTACGAAGACCATTCCGAGTTGTAAGGATTGTGCCGCTACAATCGTTACAACGCGAATCCCGAGAACAAGGAAGAGTGTTGGGACGGCGGGGAGGGGTCTCGGGAGGACTCAAACTGTGTTTTATAAATTTTTAGCTTCCTGGAGATGTCCTGAGTTGAATTCAATTAAGATCTAAATTCATTTTCAGATCATGAGAAGCTAGGAATTAAGAGAAAGTGTTGATCCATCTTCGATGGAGATGATGCTTTTTATCTACTGAACAAAAACAATAGTAAAATTAAAAAAATGTATTAGCCCTATTTTTAGGTGTGACCTCGTGGTCTGGGGATACTGAGACAAAAGAAATGACTGCTGGCTATTCTTTTAGTTCCATGGCAATTTTCCAACCACTGTGAAAGGATTTTGAAACAATCCAAATAAGTTTTTTTCAACCCTCACAAAAATAGCTTTTTTTGGCTTTTGAACATGACCAACGCAGCGCAAAGATGATTAGATATTGTTTTTTTAATTTTTCGCATTTTAAGCTTTATGACGTCTTTTCATCATAAATTGCTTTTTTCGTCTAGTTCATTTTTCACCGACGTCCGAAGGCAACAAATTGTTTGCAAGTAACAAGAACAAATTGTTACGGAGAAAAAGTCTGGTCTCAGATTTGAGCTAGGCAAATTATAAAGTAATGTCAAAATATTAAACAATATTAGTTTTAAGATTTTTGTTTGTGGCACGATTAATGATAGAAATTATTATCGGAGAAGCTTTTATTTTGTAGAGCCAAAGTAACGTACGCTGAGCTTAATTTAAAGCTCCGATTGACTCGCAAACTTTATACCAGGTCAATCTTTATGAAACTTTCTTCACGTGGCTTCTGGGCGGAAAGTAGAAACAGAAAGAAAATGAAAATATAATTCGAAAAACAGAAAATATTTAAATAGAGATGTAATTTTACTCAATCTGGTTGAATTATTTCCCTATCATCTCGACTTTCTTTGTTTTTTTATGTTATACATTCCTTTACACTTCCCAAATTATTTAATTCTCAAGTTTTTGGACTGGATCGAGCTAAAACTGAGAATTATAGTAACTTTGGTTACCATGATAGTTTTTGACGCTCTGATTTACCTGGAACAAAGAATAAATATCAAAATAAGACAAATTTGGCATAAAACACTTCTAAGAAGCATCAATTTTCCGTAAGTCGAAAAACATTTTTTTTAGGAATTGACACTAATAAGATAATAACGGCAGAAAATTTTCTACTAGTATCTAACCCGTCGCGAATTTTCGAATTCTAGAAACAAGGTCAATATAGAGAAATTTTGCGGATTTTTCCTTTAACGAGGAATTCACAAAATTAGGTTTTTTAGACATCAAATTAATTCATTCGTGCACATTTGTTTGCATTCTTTTTTTCCTTTTTTACTCATGAAATCGAAATACTTCATAAAAGGTAAAGATAGAAATAACTAATTACAATAAACAAAAATATGGAAAAGCAGAATGCTGCATTTAAATTATGTTTGAAACCCGGGAGAACAGAATTTCAAAGATGAGACGCAGACGCTATTTGTAGCCAATATAGCAAAAGCTGCTATAACAATCAACAGAAAATTGGACTTACCGTAAGTGTCAATTTCAATTAAAATACCCTTATGGTCTATTGCAGTTCAAAAATGTAATTTGCAGTTTTGTTCAAAATATATACTTTTGTTACCAAAGTTAAATCAATACTCTGTTCTCCTGCCTCATGGCCGAAAATTTCATGCGTAGCAGACTATAATACCCTACGCATATAAAAATGGACTGATGAAAATAAACCATCTTTCTGAAGAGCGAAAAAAATTATCTAGTCTTAAGAAAATACCGTTTTTAATCAATTATCCACGTTTCTGCATTTATTCTTGAGAGACTTACAATGCCACAGACGATTTTATAGGCCAGCATAACGTATATTAACGTCGCTACAACTTTTTCACACATACGATCAAATGTTAGCCTCAATCGGCCTGTTAATTCCATATTTACATTCCAGAATAGTACCATATTTATAGCAGATCATCAGGAATAATGCTAGCTTGGATTAACTTAAAATTTTTCTCTACAGATCTTAAATTAGTTCGATATTTAGTTCGACCGTTGAAAACGGGAGGAATTTTGTAATTGTGTATTTTAGTTTTTTCTTTTTTTTTCGGTTCAAGTCAGGTACGACACAAAATCATCGGAATGGGAAAAAGATATAACATATCAAAAATTTCCTAATCGTAATCCGAGTAAATGTTACAAATATTCAAAATGTTGTCAAGGTGTTGATAAAAATTGCTGTATAAATTTTGAAAAGTAGAAAGCAATCGATTCACAAAAACTGACATTCCTGTAAAATAAAACTGGTTTTGAAAGCTTCATTTGGCGCATCTTTGGAAGCAACTACTCTTTCTCTAAAGCCAGCTATTTTTGTTTGGACATTCTAATTTTTTTGGAAAACTGCAGTTGAAGTTTCATCCAACCTCCATTCCCTCTCTCTAAGAAAAAAAAATGTTATATTATAGGAAAAGTGTTTTTTTTTCAAGGAATCTGCTATTTTTTTTAAAAAACCAAAAAAAAATGTACATTACACCTGAGATAATTTTCCATTTCTTCATCTGAAATTACTGCTTTGCACTAATTTTGACAGCTGAAACAACTTATCTAACAAAGATATGCTTTTGTTTGAGTTTTTGGAAAATGTCTATTTGAAAATATATAACTTTTTTTTATTTATACATGTATGACATTTATCAGTTTTTTATTCAGCGGCTCCATTTACGCAAAATTTTTTAAATATTTTTATTTTTGATCTTACTGCTTGTCCTGAACTCCATCTTTGGCACATTTTGTAGTAAGCAAGAAACTGACAGCTAAATAATCTTTAGACGTCTTGTGCTCACAATTTTTGTTGCTTACAGACATATGACTGCATCCAATTTATTCAGTTTGGTTTTCCTAATTAAAGTTTTCTCTAATGATACTTTTTCAATATATATATAAACGAAAGCTCAAAAACTTGCATCAAAAATTTTGCAGAAAAGAATAGTTTTTTTTGAAGAGCATATCAAAGTGTAACTGTATAGCCTTTAATGCTTAAAAGATAATTCAATTCTAGATGCCAGTTTATTTGAAAGGGAACTTCCACTGTTTTCAAGGTGCAAAAAAGTTGTTTAGACAAAGTGTTGCAGTTTACGCGACTTGAGGGTCGCTACGCAATTTGATGTATTTTTTATTTCTTTTTGAAATTTTC